CCCAGCGGCTGCCTGCGCCTGCTCGCCCCGCAGCCGGGACTGCTCGCCCCTTCCCACACCCCCAGGCAGCCCGGGAGGCCCACTGCCTTACCGCAGACAATGCGTTGTTAAAGGCCGGTCTGGATATCTTTGTATGGGGAAGGAAGGCGCCACCCCAGTGGGAAATATCTGTAGTTCTGTGGTGTAGGATATATTACATTACTGAATACAGCAGCGTTTTTATAACAGGGAAGTTTTGTATTCAAACAAAGGAGTAAAATCTAAATCAAATTACTCAAGTGGGAGTGCAATACTACAGATTGTCTGCTTTTTTCCCTTCTGTGTGGAAAAAAAATCAAACCAGGATGCCCGTTAGAAAACGAGACACTTTCAATCTTGTGCCTGTTAGAAAATGAGACACTTCCAGTCTCGTTCCTCGAGATCTTTGAATAATTTCGAGAAGGAACCTCTGCAGATCATCTGGTACAGTCACCTCTTCAAAGGGGGCTCCGTTAGAACACGCTAAAAGAGCAGTTCCCATTTTCACAGAGAAATGTCAGCTTGGAGTTGGCAGAGATCTTCATTAGCATTTAATTTAGTACCACAGCTAAACCAAGATACAGAAATCCTTTTCTTTCCACTCCTCCCAGTTTTTCCTTACACAGTTTTTTGTTCTGTGTTGCTACTGTGTTTAAAATTCTTGATGCTCCAAATGAGACGCCTCTCTGCATTTCAAGAGCTAAATACAATGAAAGGTTATGCCATCTCCAATATGGGAGGTATTTTAAGTTAAATAGTATAGAAAATATTTCTTAACTAAATGGCATTATAAGCTTTTCTTACTAGCTTATGGAATTATACCCGTCACTCAACAGACATACAGACTGTTGGTACAGATTTATACCTAACAGGAAAAGTACACTGAAAGTCTGGAGGCAAGGACTGGATGATTCTAAGATCCTTTCCTTCAAAACTCAACCTTTTGTCCAGAACTAGAGATTTTTTTTCTGTTTCATTCTTGTACATGTTGCCTTCCAACTAATAGTAACCTTCTAATTGACTTCTGACTTACCTGAGATGTTCCAGAAAAATCAAGCAGCAAGTGTTGGAAAGCCTGTACTAGAATATTGAAGTGCTCTTACAATTCTGCTGTACTTGTTCATGTAGAAACCATAAAAGGAATATAGAATTAACTATCTGAACTCTATTGAGATTATAGTTTACATTTCTCTTATCTTGCAAATGGTTAGAAGTCCCTGGTGCCAGCTTGACCAGATCAGATAAATAATGGCCTCAGCAGTCCACTGAAGGAGTTCCTTACGAATTTGTAAACTCATTAAATAAACCCTAAAGGTATGTGCTTATTCCAGCCTGACTGCTCCTTCTCTAGACTTAAGGCTTTGATTGAAATATAATTTGTAAAAGCCTTTGTAGGATAAATTCAACTAAACAAGTTTAGTTTAGCTGTAATCCTCACTTAACGCAAATCTTGACTCTGCTAGCCCTCAGCAGTTAAGGTTTTAGAAGACACTCAGCTATACAGCATTGTTGTTATGCGGACAGATGCTCATGATTGTCAGAGGGAGATCCTGGGATACAGGCACAGCCATTGACTCAGCTGTAGCCAGATGGTAGTTCAGGCATTTTTCAGCTAAATCAAGGTCCATTTAAATAATAAACAGGGCTGATGATAGTGCTCTTAGCCCCTGTGCAGGCTACCTGAAGTTCAAAGCCAAGTATTTCTGCAGACCAAGAGACTAAAACATAAGAAAGGTGGACACTGGCATGGCTAGGTAATGGGATAACCTCCAACAGTAACCAGATGCTTCAGGGAAGAAATGTAGTATGTTCCATAATTTTATGTCCAAAAGAGATTTTTTTTTTTTCTAAGTTATCATCGAAAAATTGAGAGGGATCCCAAAATGCTGGAGACTAGCATTGCTTCTAAAGAGCCAGGAGTAAAGGATGATACACGTAGCGGTCAGTGTCAGTCCTCCGCTAATCTGTGGGCTTATAGATATTTTCAAAGCTTGCACTAAATCAGTGTTTTTGCAATTTTTTTTCCATCTCAGTTCTTTAGAGCTGGAATAGAATATATACCAAAAGGTTGGAAAGGGAGATTCATTCTGAGGTTGTTGGGGGGGAAAAAAAAAAAGAGATATGATGTGAAGGAGAAAAACTAATCAAGTACCAGACAATTCACAGGTTTATGTGGCGGGTAGAATTCTGTAAGAAATACCTGAACGGGGGGAAAGGAAAATGTTGCCAAGCAAAAAGCGGCAGGCTTTCAGTGACACAGGACAGACAGAGGAGAGAAAAGGACAAAGACACTAGGATTGCACTGAAAGCAGAGGCATAGAAGAGGACTGTCTCTTGAAGTGGACATCCCTGCAATGTTAGTCAGATGACATGGGGAATGGTAAAGCAAGTGACAAGAGAATGACGTATTGAAAACCAGGGAGTAATCAAAACATGCAATAAGAAGTAGTATTTAAGAGCATTCAAAGCAACATGAAGAAGATGAAAGAAGTACAAGGGAAAAAAAAAAAAAAGACAAGCAAAAACCAGTCTGAGAAGACTCATAGAACTGTTGGTCACAGGTGAGCTGTGAACGCCTCTAGTCCCACCTCCCACAGGGAGAAGGCCAGCACCAAGACCACATCAGGATCAGATCAGCCATGGCTTTGTCTAGCCAAGTCTTGAACACTTTTAAGGACAACCACCTCCGAAGCTGCTTTCTGAACAGCCCATTCCAATGCTGCACCACAGTTTACACCTCTCAGACTGCGATTTGGATGAACAGAGGCAAGATAGAAACAATCTGAACAGATCAATATTAGCAGAATGCAGTACAGTTCTATACAACCATCTCTAGCATTTAAAGATACAATCAGGTGTCTTACTTGTGACTTGCCAAAGTTCGAAAAGCAACACATTCAAATCAGTTATTGTTAAGTCAATTAAATTCTGTGGGAACAACCCTATATGGTCTTTGCCTTCCCCCTCGAAAAGAACGAAAATGTTACTTCTGTTAATGAGTGGTATGTGATCCTAACAGGAGCATGAAGAGGATGGTCATTAGAGGCAATGCAAGGAGATGAAAAGAAAACAAACAGGATTACTTTCACTTAGAGAAAAACAAGCAAAATATATGACTGGCTATGCAAAATGAAGGACATAGAAAATATAAGGCACTTAATATTTATCTTGTCTTGCAATACAAAAGTAAGGGAACAGCAACTGAAATTAAGGCAACGAATGTAAAAATGGCAACCTTTTTAAAACACAAACCGTAACTGACCCGTGGGAATTGCAGTCTTGAGCTAAAACTCCAAGCTTAATAGGAGACTTTAAAAATTACTACAGATACCTACTTATGCTACTAAGGATAACAATAACGTATAAAAACAGTAAAACCCCTTGTTTGCCAGGCAAATCAACAATTAATCTGCCTATATTTAAAAAGTAAATGTCTTCATATGTATAGATTGTTCCATTTGCTTATTATAGCCCCTTCACATCTTTTTCTGAAGCATCTGGTCCTCAGTATTCCTAGATTTACAGTATCTAATTAGGTTGAGTATTGATCCAAAAATCCCTTTGCTTCTAAAAACGCCCCCAAGTACACAGAAACACTTAATAGTCTCACCTTTACAGTTAGCAGTTACGATTTCAGGCCTAGAGTGACACTTTTCCCCTCCCCTTAATCCATCCCCAAACACGCACACAGACAAATCCCAGCCACTTTGTATTCTGGGACAGCAGGCACTGATACCTAAAATTTATTGCGCATACTGTTTAATGTAAAGGGAAACGGAAAAACCTATTCAATTTGATTTCAACAAGCATTTTCTCTTGAAATTTGACCAAAGTCATTCCATATTCTTTTATAGATTTCTTTGTTCTGTATTTCATT